CCCCGACACAGAAGAACACATCCTGCGCGCTCTCCTGTCTGTGTGGAGACTACAACACTCAAATTCATTAAGTAGGGGGCAGGACGGAGGTTGCCAGGGGCTGGGGGCGGGGGAGGTGGGAGGTGCGGGTCGAGGGATCAGTGTTTCAGCTGTGAGAGGAGGACCTGCATGCAGCATAGTGGCTACAATTAACCGCGGTCTTTTGTGCACTTGTCTGCAAAGACGGTCAGCCTCTGTGGGCCCGCGTCACACACAGCAGGTACTGTGTGCGGTAGCAAGGGCGCTAATTAGCTTCATTGCAGTGATTCGGCCATGTGTATGTATATCAACATCTCACGTCATATACCTTAACACACAATTTTTTATCAACTATACCCCAATAAAGCTGGAAAAGAAGCAAAATAAAACCATCTTTAAAAGGGAAAAGAAAGCCTTGTGCAGGAAGAGGCTGCTGGGATCAAGGGTGAGTCAGGATGACACGCACGGGCGGGCACGGAGCAGGAGGCAGGGCGCTGAGCTCACCCACAGCCTGCTTCTCTCTGAGGGCATCGCACAGCCCAGGTTTACGACAGGATCCTGGTCACTGTAAGCACTGTCGGCTTAACCCGACACACTCAGCCGCACTCCACACGGACCACAACCACCAATGGTCCTAACCAGCTAACACTACGCTCCGCCCCCAGTTACAAAGGAACGGGCCAGCACGCGGTGCCCCCAGGCCCCGGCCCCTCCCCGCGTCCTGAGCCCCAGGACCGCGCCGGCTCAGGCCAGGCCCCGCTCACAGAGCCAACACTGGCGCCCCTCGCTGGGCAACACCCCGGGCTGGGTGGCCAGACTCCTCGGCTGCAGGAGACACGGAGCCCTGCTGTGCGGCCTTCTTGGCCTCTTCTAACCTGCCAGCCCCTTCCTCACTCCCCACGCTTGACCAAAGCTACGGTCCATTGGAAAGAGGCAGATGGAGACGAGCAGGGCAGAAGGTACACACAAACTCAAAGAATGTCTCCATTCAGAAAACAAACAAGAATTAGAGGACGCACATCTTTGGCCTCACGTACTATTTCTGATTTCTAAAGGCCCAGTTTCTGTTAGAACAGTAAGCAGAAAGGTTACAAAGTACTGCTGATTTGTTTATGGCACGGAGCTTACAATATACATGGAAACTATTTGTCCGTTAATCAGAGGTGGTAAACTGTGGCTTCTGGAGAAAGACAAAGGAAACTATAGGCGTCCCCGTGGAAGATGGCTGCTCGGGTCCCCCGGCCTTAGAAGCCGAAACATCACCAAAGGGTGGGCTACACCCTGCGAGTCCAGTAGACACGTCTGCTGCTGCATTTACAGAACAGATTCTACCGAGCTTGCCTGGTTTTTGTATTTTTTTTTTTGCTTGCCTGGTTTTTTAAGAGGATGTTACTAAGAAGGCCACCACCCTAACAGCCTAGAGCAGGTCTTACTGAGCTCCCAGGCCCTGGCTGCGGCTGCCACATGGTAAACACCTTCACGCCACATTCACTCGACAGACACCTCCTGTGTGACTGCTGTGCTGGGCGCCGAGGACAACCCTGACCCCACTGCACAGAGGTCTCCATCCCCGGGCAGAGGGAGCAAACAGTGACACCGACAAACCATCAAACGACAGGACCTCGTCAGCAGTGTCAGAAGGGGCTGAAGCCGGGCTGACCCTCAAGCGAGGGCTGGGTGGTCAGCACAGCACTCTGGGGGGCTGCCCCCGGCCGGGGAGACACTCGCAGCAGATGGCGCTGTGTGGGGCCACCGAAGCCCCCGTGTGTCTGAGAGCCCAGTGGAGGCCTGGGGAGGAAGCCTGCCCACCCGGAGGGCAGCGCCCAGGTCAGCAGTGAGGTGGGCTGAACGGGGGAAGGAAGCGGGAGGCGCCAGGCTGCAGTCATGGAGAAAGGCGGGGAGAGCCTGGGACCAGTGTGCCTGGAGGTCAGAAGGGTCAGGCCGGCGTCTCTGCAGCAGCCAGAGGAGACAGTCCGTGTGGACACGTCCCCAGGAGCCGGAGTCACGTCCCCAGGGCCACAGCCGACCTGTGCCTGCAGATGGGCGCGTCCACGCAAAAGCTCCCAAAGCCCCCACTGCCCAGCCTCAAGGGGCAGGTCCAGGGACGGCAGGGGCAGTCCGGCCCTTCCAGGACGTGGGAGCGGGGTGGGAGGGGCATCCTGGCAAAGCTGCGCAGTCCAAAGTAGGAAAAGAAAGAATGAAAACAGGAGAATGAACTTCTACTACAACAAGGCTGCCTTGTGCCAAAGCCCAGGTCCAAGGGCTGCAAGGCTCCCTCCCCCAGCGCGGAAAGGCCTTACACCTCCTCGCAAGCTTCTGCCTGCTCAGCTGCTGGGGCCTCTGTCCCAAAGCTGGGGGCGGCGGTGTGAATACACGTTTGGATGATTCGCCACAAGACAGCTCTTTGCATTTTTAAACCTCTCTCAAGTGCTAGAATGTTCTTCCTGCTCTTGAGGCAGAATCTGCCTCCTTGACTCAGCCCAGGTCCTGGTCTGCCCTCCACAGAGACCGGCCTCTAACCCTCCTTACAGGTGGTCTCAGGCTTTGGGCCCCTCTCCTGAGAAAGTGAAGACACATTTCAGGTTGACAAAGACTGCAAACACAGCACTGTCCAACCTCCTTAAAATAAAGCCACAAACTAACTATATGGGAAGAACAGACACAGTAAAACATAACGTGTGAAATGAGTCCAACAGGTAAGTAAGTCCAATGATCTCACCGACAAGGTTAACTGATCACAAAATATTAAGTGTTGACTTATTAGTCACCCACACTAGACAGGGTGACTAGGTGGGGACCATTCCAGCCTGTGGAAAGGCCGCTCCCCAAAGCCGGCTCCTGAGTCAGCGCAGGATGTATTTCCCACGGCAACTGTGTGTCCTGAAGCTCCAGGTCCCAGAGCCGGAATCTCCTGCTCGGCACGAACGGGAGATGTCTCTGTGTGGAGACACGTTCCAAGCTCCCACCTGGATCCTCTCACCAGCCCCCGACCGCACGGGGAAATGCGACCCCAGGAAGCAGGCGTCTGGAAGCGGAGGGTCCAGGGAGGGGCCAGGACGCTCGGGTGAGAGAGGGAGACCCCAGAGCCTGACCCCAGCCCCCTAAGTCGCTGTCTGTGGGGCCCTCTTCTGCGGGCTGCTTTTACCTGCAAAGATGGCAGAATATATTTAACAATACATACCTCCTAGGACTAACATGCCAAATAAATGAGATCACTTTTTCTCCTTATTTATGATCAGAAAAGAAACTAAAAGTGGAAAATAATAAAAGTGGGGAAAAACTCATCAGAACACATGTACTTGTCTGTCACCTGCAGCCCCTGAAACTGAAGGCGTGCTCATGAAACAGTGACCTTGCCCCCACCCTGCTCTCCACAGAGGGGCTCACGACGCGGGGGCCACCCCGAGTGGCACTGGGCCTGGGGTACAGAGAGAATGACAGAGGGAAGGGGAGCCCCCGCAGGGTGGGGAGCCGATGCCACCAGCCGGGACCCCACTTCCTTACAGAGGACACAGGGCCGTGAGTCTGGGGCTTCCACACTGGGGAAGTTTAGCTTTCCAAAAATTGTAAAATGCAGTATATAATAAAACGGTATGGGATTCCTGCATCTACTGGTGACAGAAGAAAATTTAACAGATGAATAAAGCTTAACATGTATGATTAAATTGAACATATTAAATAAACTTCTCAAACGAGTAAGTTTTCTGCTGAAATGAATGGCTTCCACCAGGAAAGCTAAATGAGCACACGGGAGAAAGGCTAACGTGAACAGAATACTGTAAAAACCACTCACTGTTATCCTGGGTTTGGTTACAGGTCCTATTTCCTTTCATTAAGGAAGTTTTTCCCACTCCTAGCTTAAGGTGATTAAATGACAAGATTATCACTGTACATAAGACAGGTTAACATAATTTCTTTTACTAGAAAAATAAATTTGCAAACACAACCTTTAGGATCCATGTGGTCTCAGCTTCAGGTGTCAGCGCGTTGCTCATACTTCCCATGGCTGGACGGACCCCGACGGGCAGAGGGTGACTGGTGGCTTTCCGTGGTGGCTCTGCGCCCACCCGCCTTCCTCCCACCAGCCTCCCTTTCTAAGGCCCGCGACTGAAGTCAGCAGTTGTTGGACAATAGAAACCCAGAAAACTTGGTTTCTCTTCAGCTCACAATAAAGAGGGTAACCCTGACCCCAGGACCCCCCAGCTCCGGCACTTCTTGGCCCCTCCAGTTAGCACATCAATGAAAATAAAATGCTGATACGTTTTGACAAACTGTAAGATTCAACTGTCAACAGACAGAACAGAGTCGTTAAAAACACGTAAAAAGAAACAAACCTGTGAGCATAAGGGCTTTTATCAGTGCTGTAAGGAACAAGGAACGTTCGGGAGAAACCCTCCAAGTCAGTCTGGAGAGTTTTTAAGAACTCACTGAGCCCAAGGGATAAGGGTTACATCAGAGGAATCACTTAAGTGAAACAGGAAGTCTCTGGCCACCTCCTTTCAGGTCAGTCCTAGTAAAAGAATCCCCTGAACGGAATCACTTAAAGGCAGAAAGAAAGCTTTTTCCTCTTTGTCCCACAGGTTCCAATCATCTACTGAACTTTTCCTAAGAAACGGAAATTCAGCCACTGAGCGTCTCGCCGAACTTCCAGAGCCGCCCCAGTCTGGCGAGCGCACTGAAGCCTGGCTCGCTGGTCGAGAAGCTGCTCCGCCGTGCGGGCGGCAGGCCTTTACTTGCCCCCACGGGATATGTGGGGACGAGCCCAGACGCTGTCACGACAGCGCATCAACAGACTGCTTCCCAAACATGGTCGTGGGCTGGGGGTGACGGCCCCCCAGCAGGCCCGGGGGAACCACCCCCTACCCCGCAGAGGTGGAAATGCCGAGAAGACAACGTCAGAGTGAGTCAACAGCAAATACACTCCACATTTGAAAACTTCATTAAAAATAATAAAAAAATAGACATTAGAAATTGTGACTTACCACCGTCGGACACAGTTGCGGACTGAAAGAAAAGAGAGAGAGACATGAGTTAACTGGGCCTCATGACCGGTCAGAAGACAGCACGTCCACGTGAGGAGCGAAGCCAGCCTCTGGCCAAGCCCGTTCTGGGAGCAGGTGCCCGGGCACGCCGCCTCCTGGGGCGTGGCTCTCCGCTTCCTGGGTGAGCCCCGCCCCGCCCCCGGGCCAGGACGCGGGCCGAGACCGTCCCCTTCCTCCCTGGAGAACAGATTCCATCACGCCCCACATCGCAGGCTTCGTAACAGCCTCTGAGCAGTCTTAGAGGTCGGGCTGACCAGCCTGGGCTTGAGTCTGCCAGGCACACCCGAGCCCAGGAGGCAGGCCTGCCCTCCATCCATCCAGGGCGAGGCGCGGCCCGGGGCACATGGCAGTCCTGCTCCACGCTTTCACCCCAGGCCCACCCGGGGGTAGATCCGCCTCGGTGGTGGTGGCTGAGGGGGGCCGGCCTGCAGCCAGCCTGGACCTCTGAGCCAGCCACCCTGGGCAGGCAGGTAGGGACAAGCCAGGCCTGGAGGGAGGAGGTGGTGGAGGGAGGTCCTGGGACAACAGGCAGGGTCCCGAGAGCTCCAAGCAATTGAGCAAATTCTTTGATGGGATGACTGAGCAAGTCCTCCTGAGGATGCAGTTCTGAGGCTGCGATCTAGGGAGGGGCCCTGGGGCTGTGGACAGAGGGGCTTCAGAGAAGTCAGGAGAGGGGAAGGGGTCTGGGGAGGCAGCAGAGACACCAGGGAGCCTCCCCGCAGGAAGGGAGTGGGTTCAGCACCTCTGTGACGAGTCCTGGTCACAGCCCAGGCACAGCCCGGCGGGCCAGAGGCAGCCAGAGCCCCAAGGCAGCCACACAGGGACCACAGGCCTTAGGGCAGTCAGCATCCCAGGCATCTTGGCCCCCAAGTCATGCCCTGAGAAGAAGCCCGCTGCAGAAGCCCCGGGCCTTGCACGCCTTCCTCTCTGCAGAGCAAGGGAGACCAGAGAGCAGGGTGTGGATAGTGACAGGGAGCCCCTTCCCAGGCCCGGGGCCTCCCCAGTCAGCTGGGGTCACATCTCAAGACCCCCAAGGCCAAGAGCAAACAGGTGGGGAGGAGGTGCCAGACCAATGCTTCCAGGGACAGCCCCCCTACCCAGGGACAAAAGCAGGTGTTTGTGGCCAAATTGTGAAAAGAGTGATCCACATCAACAGCACACCCTATACACTGTTTGGCCTCCCCGTCCACAGTCCAGCGCTCCCCCCCCCACCTGGAAGACGGGGGCCCTCACCTCCTGGGGCTCACCCCTGCCCAGCCCAGTGAGCCACCCTCCTCCCCCAGGGGGCTGTCCGCTAGGATCCTGCCCTAGGATCAGGTTCGTCACGGCTTCACACCATCTTGAGTCCTGGGTCACAAACACTCTGCTACTGCATCCTGGTACCTTATCAAGATATTTTTCAACAGTAAAAGCACAGGCTATGGTGGATCCAGCTTTTAAACCTTCACCTTGCCAGGCAGGCAGCAAAGAGCAGACCCCAGGGAGCCCGCAGCCCCTCCACAGCAGGATCTGTTCTCACTGGAGAAGCAGGGGGGTCCCCACCCCAGGGTGGACGAGGGCCCGCGGATGCTGTCCTCCTGCCCATGTTCACCACAAGTCACCTATGATCCTGGGAAAATTAAATAATATCAAAGGCAAATCATTCCTTGAGATTGTGAGAGGAAACTCTGCAAGGCCATACACAAAAGCAGAAATACCATCAATAATAACTTCTGAGAAGCAAGTCAGAAAACACAGAATCCATCAATGTGAAGGACGTGGTTCACTCCCTGTATGGTCACAACTAAAACTGAAGTCTCAGGCTTTAGCAGACTAGAGAAAATGCAGTAAAAAATGTATACACACATCCCCCAAATGCACTGAAACTCAAGATCCCAGAGAGAGGCATGTCCCTGAAGCCAGGAAGGTGGCCGGTGAGCGCACGCTGACCATGGGGAGGCTGGGCCGGCTGGGCAGTGGGGACAGGGCCAGCAGGGCGGGCTCGCAGCTGCAGAGGCTCTGTGTGGTGTGTGTGCGGGGGGCCCTCTGGTGCAGGGTGAGCAGATCCAGGTAAAGGTCCCCAAACATGCCTTAGAGCAGCTTTTGATTTACAGAAACACTGTGAAGTGAGCACAGAAACAAACCTGCTTTCTGACACAACACTGCTTGAAAGGAAGCAAGGGGCCCCCTGAGGGAGGAGCAGGGAGGGGACAGAGGGCCACAGGGCTGAGGGGTGCGTCCCCTCACTTGGACGCTCCCGGGGTGAAGAGCCCAGCTCCACAGCCACAAACACAAACCTTCTGGGAAGAAGCAGCCCTGCAAGGCCCACAGGAGTTCCAAGAGCATGAGCCCACCTAGAGATGAGCTCAAAAATCCCCCAAGCCCAGGGGAAACCCCCCTGAGAAAGAACCAGCAGAAACAGCAAGGCACAGAATCTCAGATACTGGAGAGGTCTAATGCAGATGTCAAATGACTATGAAATTGTGAAGACACAGATGTTTCAATAAAAAAGGGAGAAGCAGGGTGGTAGATTTAAAAATAATCCTATAGGATGATTGACAATGAAATCTACAATTGTTGAAATTGCAGAGAGGTACTCCATAGAGAGGTTACCAGAGATCGGGGACAGAAGAGAAAATCTGGGAACTGAAAGACCGACCTGAAAGAAATGCCCTGACAGCAGCGCAGAGGCGGCTGTGAGGAGCAGCCCGGCCAGGGGCGAAGCTGCTCTGAGGATGTGCGCCCCGTGCCTCGGGCCAACCCCCACCCTGTCCCGGGACTCCTCCAGGACGCCCACCAGGAAGACACATTCTGGTCCAAACCTCAGTTGTTCAGTATTTTCCAGGAGGGGCTCAGAATCTGTAAGCCACAGCTTCAGATGACGTACTTCCTTCCCTTTCTGAACTTTGGGCAACTGTGACGAGAGGACTTCCCAAGCTCTTAGCACCTGAGGAGTCACAGCTGGTAGGCCTTGTGTGTGTGTGTGTGTGTGTGTGTGTGTGTGTGTGTGTGTGTGTGTGTGGTGTGTCTGGTGTGTGTGTGTTGTGTGTGGTATGTGGTGTCCATGTGGCGTGCGTGTGGTGTGTGTGTGGCATGTGGGGTGTGTGGTGTGTGTGCATGGTGTGTGGTGTGTCTGTGGTGTGTGGTCTGTAGTGTGTGGTGTGTGTGTGTGGTGTGTAGTGTGTGTGTGGTGTGTGTGGAGTGTGTGTGGTGTCTGTTGTGTGTGGTGTGTGGTGTCTGTGGTGTGTGTTGTGTGTGTGTGTGTGTGGTGTGTGTGGTGTGGCGTGTGTGATGTGTGGTTGTGTGTGTATGTGTGTGTTGTGTGTGGTGTGTGGTGTGTGTGGTGTGTATGGTATGTGTGGTGTGTATGTGTGTGGTGTGTGGTGTCTGTGGTGTGTGGTGTATGTGATGTGTGTGTGGTGTCTGTTGTGTGTGGTGTGTGTTGTATGTGGTGTGTGTGTGTGTGGTGTGGTGTGTGTGGCATGTGTGATGTGTGGTTGTGTGTGTATGTGTGTGTGGTGTGGCGTGTGTGGTGTGTGTTGTGTGTGGTGTGTGTGGAGTGTGTGTGCTGTGTATGGTGTGTGTGGTGTGTATGTGTGTGGTGTCTGTGTGTGTGTGGTGTGTGGTGTGTGTGGTGTCTGTTGTGTGTGGTGTCTGTGGTGTCTGTGGTGTGTGGTGTGTGTGTGTGGTGTGTGTGTATGTGTGGTGTGTGTGGTGTGTGGTGTGTGTGATGTGGTGTGTGTGGTGTCTGTGGTCTGTGGTGTGTGTGTTGTGTGTGTGGTGTCTGTGGTGTGTGTGGTGTGTGGTGTGTGTGTGTGTGTGTGGTATGTGTGTGTGTTTGTGGTGTGTGGTGTGTGTATGTGTGTGGTGTGTCTGTTGTGTGGTGTGTGTGTGTGATGTGTGTGTGTCTGTTGTGTGTGTGTCTGTTGTGTGTGGTGTGTGTGTTGTGTGTGGTGTCTGTGGTGTGTGGTGTGTGTGTATGTGTGGTGTGTGTGGCACGTGTGGTGTGTGTGTGTCTGTTGTGTGGTGTGTGTGTGTGGTGTGTGTGTGTCTGTTGTGTGTGGTGTGTGTGGTGTCTGTGGTGTCTGGTGTGTGGTGTGTGTGTGTGGTGTGTGTGTATGTGTGGTGTGTGTGTGTGGTTTGTGTGGTGTGTGTATGTGTGTGGTGTGGTGTGTCTGTTGTGTGTGGTGTGGTGTATCTGTTGTGTGTGGTGTGTGTGTGTGTGCTGTGTGTGTTGTGTGTGCTGTGTGTGTGTGCTATGTGTGTGTGTGGTGTGTGTGTGGTGTGTGTGTGTGGTGTGTGTGGTGTGTGTGGTGTGTGTGGTGTGTGTGGTGTGTGTGTATGTGTGGTGTGTGTGTGTGTGTGGTGTGTGGTGTGTGTGTCTGTTGTGTGTGTGTCTGTGTGTCTGTTGTGTGTGGTGTGTGTGGTGTCTGTTGTGTGTGGTGTGTGGTGTATGTGTGTGGTGTGTGTGTCTGTTGTGTGTGTGTCTGTTGTGTGTGTGGTGTGTGTGGTGTCTGTTGTGTGTGGTGTGTGTGTGTGGTGTGTGTGTATGTGTGGTGTGTGGTGTCTGTGGTGTGTGTGGTGTGTGTGTGTGGTGTGTGTGTGTGTGGTGTGTGTATGTGTGGTGTGTGTGGCGTGTGTGGTGTGTGTGGTGTGGTGTGTGTGGTGTGTATGTGTGGTGTGTGTGTCTGTTGTGTGTCTGTTTGTGTGTCTGTTGTGTGTGGTGTGTGTGGTGTCTGTTGTGTGTGGTGTGTGGTGTATGTGTGTGGTGTGTGTGTCTGTTGTGTGTGTGTCTGTTGTGTGTGTGGTGTGTGTGGTGTCTATTGTGTGTGGTGTGTGGTGTATGTGTGTGGTGTGTGTGTCTGTTTATGTGTCTGTTGTGTGTGGTGTGTGTGGTGTCTGTTGTGTGTGGTGTGTGGTGTATGTGTGTGGTGTGTGTGTCTGTTGTGTGTGTGTCTGTTGTGTGTGTGGTGTGTGTGGTGT